GGTGGGGGGGGAGAATTGGGGTGATTAATCCTCCTTAATTAAAAGGGGGACAATTTTGGAACAACACTGCTCTAGGACCCTGCATTACATAAATCAGTTTTCATTTTTCTTTTTGTGGGTTTAAACGTTTAAGCAATTTTAAATGTTGGTTTATTTATTTTATTTCATTTTTTTTCAAAAAGATTATTGTAGGACTGGCCTTTTAATTTTTGAATCCTTGAACACTGCTTTGAGAACCCTTTTCTTGATGTAAGCGTTAGTTAGCATATAAACAGGAACACCACATTTGACGTCTCCAACTAAGACACCCTCATCCTAGGACAAGGGTTAATATCTGTCTAGCAACTAATTTTTTGAATGGATGAGTGGCTGATAAAAAGAGAACTGTGATGACAAGTCTACCAGTTACTTTCTCTCAGCAGGGCATTAGCATTTACCTTCTGAGCCCCCACTTTAAAGCTGACATTTAAATAGGGATGTTTCTCTCTATCTTGCATGCTTTACACTAACTATACAGTTTGGGTGGGTCTGCATTATTTAGAATGTTCTAAGGGGCATGTTGATGAAACTACTGTTATGCCATCAATTCAGGAGTACAAGTTCTGTACAAAAATTATGTGTTTGTGTATGTTGGATCAGGGAGCACACTCACACATATTGCCAAGAGAAAGAGAGTGTGCAATTTAATGGGTTACTTCCAGTCACATGGCATGCAGACTGTCACAATATTATTAGTTGTCCTTGTCACTTTCACGGGTAGCCATTTGCAGTGATCCACCTGCAAGTGGTTATGGAACCAACTTAGGCAGTCCTTCAAACTTGCATTGAATAATATTAAGAGTATTCTGCACACTGTTCCGGTAAAAGCTTTGGTGTTGATTTCCTCTTTGCTATCCTCTTATGGACTAGGGCAGTGTTTCTCAACCTTGGCCACTTGAAGATGTGTGGACCTCAGCTCCCAGAATTCCCCAGCCAGCCATGTTGAAGTCCGCACATCTTAAAGTTGCTAAGGTTGGGAAACACTGGACTAGGAGAAGAGAAAAATGCAACACTTAAAAAAAAAAAGAAGAACTGATTGATGGAGACTTTTCTTACCATATTTGTGAATTTTCTACCCATGTATAAACTCTACTGTGATATTATGGTAGTTTTGCTTGTGGATTTTACACTGATATCGGTTGGCTATTATGGAGCCCTGCCTTGGACAGCTGATCCAGAAGGGTTCTTTTTTTAATCTTGGTAAGATGGGCCATATTTTACTCTTTCCATGTTTGCTGGCTCCAGATTTGTTTCTGACTTGAAATCAGGGTGCAGCACTAGACTTTAAATCCCTGAAATGCCTGGGAGTATCAGAAGTTCATACCCCTGACATGGACTCAAGTTGGAGGAGACTGAATAGCTTCCCAAGGAAAAGTAGAATCAGGACCTTTTTGATTATTTTTGGGGGGGAGGGGTCAGAGCCTACTGTAATAATGTTTTCTCCATTTACTTTTAGTTACTTAGTTACACACATGCACAAAGATGGCTTGATTTTGATTTATCATACGAAAGTTTAGCATGAACACTTACACTTAAGAATAATTTTGAAATTATGATGAGTTTAAAATGTAGTCTTCAGACCAAACCATAATGATCACCCAAACCTATACACTATTTATTCTAGAGATCCCCTTAGATTTTGCATTAACATCTTCAGTCCATGCTCAACATCCATAAAGGTTGTGTTTGCCACTTCCTTCCTCTCTACTCTGGACAAATATTCTCCCTTTATATCAGTTTCATCTGCCTGATTTTAAGGCTTTTCAGCAAACCATTCGTACCAAACTTTATGAAGTTGAAATGTAGTCTTCCTCTTCTGGCACTGCATATGTTATTGTGAGATCTGAACGGAGCCTCTCCATCACTCTGTCTCCCAAGGTGGTTTGGAAGATATAAACAGAATTAATTCCACTGGTGTCCCTTCCTCTGCTCTATTTTGAAGAAAAGCAGGCTATAAATACAAAGACGGTGCTCCACCATTGTCCTTATGTAGTATGGACGTGCATCTTTTCCTTGAGCAATCTGCCCCCTCAGTTTCCAGTGCTGCTGTATGGAGCCACCTTTAGAGAATATTGCAAATCCATTGTAGTTGCTAATGACAACAAGGTTGGTAGAACAAGAGCTTCTAGGAAGCATCCTCTTGTCTAGGCCTCTCTCTTTCTCAAACAAGTGCCCAATTAAAACTGAACACTGCCTTCCTGCCCGCTGTAATGGGATCAGTGTGTTTATGCCAGTGACTTTGTTATAATCCTTATGGGGCTTTTTGGCTCTTTAAAAAAAATCTTCTGTCCCCCCCCCCCATGCATTAGTTTCTATGGAAACTCTGTCGTCATGGGTACCTTCTGGGTAGGTTTAGAGACAGCCACAAGTGCAAAAGAAAAAGAAATGGTTTATGGTATAATGAAGCTGAAATAGATGCACTTCAGCTTCAGTCGTCTTAGAAATGTAGAGGGGACTTGTACAGGGGTGGAAAATTCATCTGTCCAGAAAGCTGGTTTGGTTAGGTTGCACAAAGCTGCCAGGTAATTTGTTTGGTTTTGACTTCGTGCAGTATGCAAACCAGCCCTTGTGAACAGCGGTTTAGGGCTTAGTACAGTGTCTGAATCCACCAAATATGGTTTACTCAGCAAATCATGGAATTTGCTCTGATGGATGGAAGAGCTCCGCCTTACTCTCAGCACACAATGTAAGCCCTTTGGGCTTTGAAACTGAAGTTCTTCAAAGAGTTTTAAGGAAGTTTGGTATTCATTGTAAGGAAAGGTGAGGAACCACTAATCTTACCTGAACCTCCTGGTTTTGAAATAGTTAAATTATTATGGTTGGTCGCACAGGCAGCCAGATGTTTAGACTGGATTTGGCATTTTTGTCCACCTATTGAGTCCTTCCCAAAGGCCTGGGATGGGCAGATGTTGTTTGATGGTGTTTAAGGCACTGTTGCAGGATGGAAGCTGTTCCAAGTAAAGCTGCCTTTTGCAATTGACTGATGGTGATTTTGTCAATGCTGATGGTGTTCAAGTGGCGCTCCAGATGTTTTGGGATTGCACCCAAGATGCCTGTTACTTTTGGTACTGTCTTTGCTTTCTTTTGCCATAGTTGTTCTACTTCTATTTACAGGTCTTTGTATCTTGTGATTTTCTCCAGTTCTTTCTCTTCCATTCTGCTGTCTCCAGGT